GCCCCCCGCCCCCCGCCCTCGGCTCGGTGGCTTCTCGCGTCGCCGGGCTGAGCAGCCTGGCGAAGCCGGGCCGTCGGCAGTGCCAGCAAACGGGGCTTCAGTCCGATCCGTGCAGGTCGGCCGCAGCCTTTGTCCGAAGGCGTCCCGGGTCGGAGGGGGACCCCGGCCCCCAGCTGTCCTGAGGAGCCGCAGCAGGGGCACTGTCTCAGCATCCCCTTTGGGGGTAACCGACCCCGGCGGTGGGGCGGGGGGCCGCGGCCGTGGCAGCACACGCCGCTTCAGCAGCAGGACGGCAGGGCTGTGAGCGGTCCCCCTGCTCCCACCCGGCGTGGCCGCTTCCCACCCGTGGGAGCCTGGCACCTCCGCACCGAGAGCCACCAAGGCAGAGCCCAGTTAAGGACCCGGCGGGCCGGGCCCCTCTTCTGCCAGTAGGCTGCCATTAATGCCCTCCTTGAATAGCGATCGCATTACATCCCTGCAAAATGGCAAATTAGATCACAGTAACTTCAGCTCTGCTACACACCCAGAAACGTCCCCAGCCTAAACTTGGGAGGTGACTCGGAGGATGGGACGCGGATACCTGCGGTGGAGGGAGCGGGAGCCTCTTCCACGGTGCCCAGGTAGCCTGTCTCCTCTTCCCTTTCACGTTGGCAGGGTTTGGTTTAATCTCTGAGAAAGTGTCTTGAGTTGGTTTTACTGGACCACAATGCGAGAAAGGTTTCTCATTTATAAACTAGTTTAGGGGACACGGTGTAGAGAGGGATGAGGGCAAACGTCGTCCTGCTCTACTGTACAGCTGGAAATGCTAAGGAATAGGCAAAACGGTGGGTTTGTACCGCAAAGAACGTGCCAGCACAAAATCCTGTGAGCGAAGTGTTGCCTACACCCCTTACGTTTATTTACGTTTATTCTTTGTTGAGAAGTAGGCTCCAATTCAGCATCTGCTGGAGCACGGTCTCCCCGATACCAGCGGAGCGGGCCGTGTCCGTGGGTGCCCTGCCGGGACCGGACCGGGGGCGAGGGCAGAGCTGTGAGCGCCGTCCCCGAGGCGCTGGCAGCGGGGGGTTCCTGCCGGTTTTCTTGCCGTGGCTCCCCCTTCCCTCCGCTGCCTGCCGCGGGCTTTGGTTTCCCTTGCCCCGGTACGTCTCCTCCTGCGAAGCGGCGAGCGCTGGCAGGCAGGAGCACAGCTCCTGGCCCCTGCCTGCAGAAGCCGCCCTGCCCGGCGTGGGCGCACCCGCACGGAGGGCAGCGCATGGGACGTCCCAGGTACCTGCTCGGGGCGTGCTTGCCGTGGAGGTGGCGCGGGTTGGACTGGCAGAACGTTACTGGGCGGCCGAGATGTGCCAGGAGCGCCGCGGTCCCGTCCTTTGTGCCTGCCTGCGGCCGGGAGCCCTCGGGATGAGTCGCGGTCCCTGCTGAGGTCCCCGAGCCTTCCCGCAGGGCTTGACCTTGGGGACAGAGGGCTGTGATCCGGCGATGAGTGTTTTCCCTTTGTCCCGCTGTCCCACGTTTTCCTTCTCCAGCCCCGTGCCCAGCTCTCCTCCTCCCTCGGTCCTCAGGAACAGCACCACGTCGCGGTGGCATTTGTGTTGGGAGACGGACCCAGCTCAGCCCGCCCGCTTCCAGGAAGGCTTTTTCCCTAAAAACCCAATTTCTGTCAAAAGCATGGTGCAGTGGAAAGCATGGAGTCGGTCAGGAACGGTGCTCTTGCTGGCGTGAGCTGGGGGGGGGTCCCCAGGTGACAACCTGGCAGGCCGCCGCTCTCGCTTGCCCG